AGAGGTTTAATACAACGTATTTTTTTCTAAATGATTCATGGCGGAGAAACCCATTTGTTCCGTAATAAAAATAAAAATTAGCACACCTCTAATGACTTAAATTTGCTTAAATTTTTGTTATTTATTTTTAATTATTCAATATTAAATTCTTTAAAATTTTCTCAAAAAAAAAAAAAAAAAAATTCTTCAGGTAATTGATTTCATTATTCCAATGACCAATGTTTGTAATTCTTATCACTTTTTCATGACCTTCACATATATAGTAAAATTTCTGGGGTCTACTGCTTTCTCTCCGTCTCCTCTAGCCCCCTATCTCGCTCAACGTACATGCACGGACTTCACCTCGATAGCAATCGCAATAATGGCCAATATCACGTAGATCAATGTTATGACAAAGACGTACAGAGGATTTGTGGTGAACACCAATTTGGTCAAGAAAATGGTGCCAATAAGGAAACTCGCCATTAAAAGGACCACAATGAGTATGGTTTTCAGATCACGATACCACAGCGTTGAGGGATTTTGTCGGAGAGGTACGGTAATTTTCGGCTTCAGTGGACGATATTCCTCCCGGTATTGGGTCTCAAAGCCGCTTGTAAAATCCACATCATCGTAAGACACATTGGCCTTTTCCACATCTTTGGCTTTAGGATAGATGTCAGGTACCTTGGAAATGTCTTCCTCCTCGGCCATGTTAAATATTGGTTTTTTTTTGTTGTTTTTTTTTTTGTCAATTGGAAATTTATTTTGTAATTTTTTTCTTTTTTTCCAAAATTCGTTATTCAGTTAACCCGTCTTTTGTTTTTAACGGCACACCAGGTACTGCTGGGGCTATCTATCTATCGTTATTGTTTGAACTGCTTTCTTTTCTTGTAGGGGGTGATTGGGGGGGAATTATCGTAGCAATGGAATTGATAATTAAATGATTTCTTATTGAGACTTTTGTCCAACCAGCCATCGGTGCGTTTATCTGTCAGTCCGTCCGTCTGCCTATCATTGTGTTATCATATCAACAAAACAAGAAAAGGTGTTAATGTGATAAGCGTTCCGATTGCGTTTCTCTGGTCTGATCAATGGAACCATTAACTGATAGTGACGTATCGCTCTCAGTTTTTTTCAGGTCGAGTGTTGTTTTTGTTATTGCCGTAGTATTTATTGTTGCAATATCGCATTGCCGCATAAGCAGGGTAGTCAGCTATGGCGATTTCTCGCCAAATGTGGTGATTTTTCTATGCATTTGGTGACTTAATTTTTGATTTGGCGACATGGCGATTTTTTGTGGCGGAGTATAGAACAGTTGTAGGAAATTACGCAGTTTTTCTATCCATTGCATTATCGCAGTGCCAATAAGCAGGGTTATCTGATTTGGCGATATCTCTCCAAATATTACGATTTTTCAACGCGTTTGACGACTTAGTATTTTATATGTGGCGATTTTTTGTGGCGGAGTATAGAACAGCTGTCAGATAAAGACGAAACAGTTGTCAGATAAAGCTTGGTTTTTTGGACATTTGTACTAAAAGGGTACGAAAAGTATTCAAAAGGTACTAAATATGGTACCCTTTGCATTTGAGGAACCAGTAGAGCTAGAACTCTTAACTTTCTAATGAGGGTCACTAATGGAGCGTATGATAGATGTTTTTGGAAATTCGCACTATAAGTGTACGAAAGGTACTACAATGTACTACTTTTGGTACCATTTCGTATCATTTGAAAACTTGGAGTTTGGAGTGGAAATCAAGGTTGAGGAGTAGAGTCGATGTGTATGTAGGTAGTTTTGTAAGTGTGTACCCATGCGTACAAAAAGTACTAAACAGTACTTAATTTAGTACAATTTCAATTTGGAGGAACTGGAGGAGCTGGACTCCTGAAATTTGAAATTAACATTACTGGCAGATTGTAGGATTGGGATATGGTTAAGTGCACAAAAGTACGGAATGGTACTAAATTTAGTACAATTTCGATTTGGGCTGGAATTCTGAAATTTACTCTTACTGAGGAATGTATGTATTTTTGGAAATTCGTACTTATTTGTACTTAATGGTACCAAATATGGTACAACTTACATTTTGGTAGAACCGTTAGTGCTGGAATTCTGAAAATTAAAATAAGATTACTATGACATTGTAGGACTGGTGTATGTGTATAGTTTTGGAAATTCCTACTTATGTGTACTAAATTGTACCAAATTTGGTACAATTTAAATTTTGGATAAACCTTAAAGTTGGAATCCTGAAATTTGAAAATACGATTTATATTGGATCACACGATGTAGGTAGTTATGAAAATTTGTACTGAATGGTACAAAAATTTGGTCAAATTTATATTTGGGTGAACCAATAGAGCTGGTATCCTGAAAATTGGAAATAAGATTATTGTCGGAGTGCAAGATTGGGATATGTAGGTGGTTTTGGAAATTTGTACTTAAATGTACTAAATAAACTACAATTTGCACTAAGGCTAACCAACAGGGGTGGAATCCTAAAATTTGGAGCTTGGAGTGTAGAATTGGGGTATGTAGGCTGTTTGGGACAGTCGTACTTATGTGTACTAAATTTGGTACATATTGGAATTGTAATGAACCGATGGAGCTGGAATTTTTGGAATTTGGAAGAAGAGTCACTGATGAAGTGCAGCATAGATGCACCACATGGTTATTGGAAATTCGAACTTTAAATTTAGTAAATGTTCTTAAATGTTACTAAACTTTTAAAATGGTACCAATTGGTACAATGTGCACGAATAACGTGCAATAAAGCAAAAAATGTCGGAAATTTAGAAAAAGTTTAGATTTGTTCGAATTGGTCACATTTGGCACGAATTATGGCTGCCCGAATGTTGCTCTGCAGTATTTCGGCCATTGCCGGCAAAGCGGTTGCCTGAGTTGATCAACACTTTGGTATTTTTTAGTGCCAACCTTGCTTTGAAAAAATACTCCAGAAACAATAGTCCAACGGATTGGTATCTGGAGATTTTGGTGGCCATTGTGCGCTGGAAATGAAGCGAAGAACCTCATTCTGTAACCATTCTTGGGTGGTGCATGCTGAGTACGATGGTGCTGAGTCCTGTTGGAATGTCCAAGGTCTGCGGCCAAAGTGTTTGCGTGCTCAAGGCTTTAATACACCCTCCAGAATATTTTCTTGATAATATTCGGCATTTATTCTGATGCCACGGTCGATTAATACGAGCGGAGAGCGACCATCGATTGTTATGGTGGCCCACACCATCAACAGGGTCGGCGCTTGAGTTCTGGTGGCCAACCGAAGGTGCATATTTACAGCTGACCTCTTTGGCAAGTAAACACGATTAGTTTGTTTGTTTACAATCTGCCGGACAACGAAAGTTTTCTCATCGGAGAAAACCAAAATCGGAAGTTCACCACTTTCGGCCGAGCGAAGCAACTCTTTAGCTCTTTTGAGTCTATTTTCTTTCTGTTGCGGTGTAATTTCTTCCACTTTTTTGAATTTCAATGACCCGAACTCATTTTTCAATATTAATCTCGAATAGAATATTGCGATATGTTCAGCTCACGAGCCATTTTCCGGCCACTGCGTTGCGGGTTTCGATCAAGTTGCTTCTTTACTTTTGGAATCATTTCTGCTGATGTTGCTGCTTTCTTCCGCCCACTTCCTTGACGTCGGGCTACGTCACAAAAGATTTATTCACATTTAAATGCTGGAGTGCTCCTACGATAGCCACTTGTGGTTTTCCGGGCAAATAAAAAGAAATCACATTATCACGCTTGAATTCCATCACAAATACCTTTTTTCTGGAAAATTCTCACCAAAATGTTTTTGTACGCTTGTAAACAATATAATCAGCTGTAACAGGAATAATTTTAACAGCTGTCGGATGAGAGGTTTGGAAATGACAGCAGTCTGAAATTGGTTGCAGTTTTATCATCTCACCCTGTATGTGTTTGAGATTTGGCGATGGCTTGGAAATTGGTCCTAAATTTTTACGAAAAATACTAAATGTTGTGGATTCTGGATTCTCGAATTGAGATATGGAAATTGTTTTAAAAATGTGCACTGTAATTATACGGGAAGTACTGAATGGTGCTAGTTTTAGTATTGAGTGAATCTATAGAGCTGGAATGGCGAAATTTGATATCTGCTGTTGAGATATAGGGGTGGTTTTGGAAATATGTACTATAGTTGTAGTAAATGCAGCTGAATTTTGAAACGGGGGAAATTACAGAGTTGAGATCCTGAAATTTGATATTAGGGTCACTGTTGGTATCGGAGGTTGAGATATGGAGAATATTTTGAAAATGTGTTCTACAACTGTTCGCTACCAACTAAATTTGGTATTGGGTGATTTAATAATAAAGTATCTGTTGATATCTGGGATTGAGATATGGAAATTGTTTTGAAAATGTGTGTTATCATTGTACGGGAAGTACTTAGAGGTACAAAATTTAAAAAAAAATTTTTAGGTTATTGGGGTCTGAGGTGTAAATATAAAGGTGGATTTGAAAATGCGTACTGTAGTTATTCGAAAATTACTAAATTGGCTGAAATCCTGAAGCTTGGAAATGGATGTCACTGTTGGTGTCTGTGGTTGAGAGGGAGGGAGATATAGAAGTGGTTTTGGAAATGTGTACTTGAAGTATACGAAAAGTCCTAAATGGTACTAATTTTGGATCACTGTTGTTGGGTGAGGATTGTTTTGGATGTGCGCATTAAATGTTTCTAAATTTGTACTGGGATAAAGCGGAAATTCTGAAACTTGCTATTGAGGTCACTGCTGGCTTCTTGAGTCTACATATGGAGACGTTGAAATAGTTTTGAACAGAAAAATTGGATGTGAGTCCATTCTGTATTGGTGTTACCAATATCCTACTCGGTCGACTTGAAAATGAAAGATTTTTAAGACTTTTTGGTGTAAACAATTTTTCCTATTATTCTTTAGAAAAAACCTGGCAACCCTGCCGATAAGATATCTCTATCATATTAGCTTTTCGATTTGCCAATTGAAGAATTCCCAGAAATGAGAATTTCACTCTCTCTCACACACCGCCTTCAAATGTTTGGGCAATTATTTCTCGGAGAGTAACCAATCAGGTCGATATGACACATCAAACAAAGCAGAACTTCTGCAGAATTAAAGGAATTCATTTGGAGTGCATGTCAATAAATTTCTTTGTACAATATGGTACATTCTATAAAAGAGGTGGAAAAAGTTTTTAAAGAGGCGCTGGAGGAAATCTCTACGGATGGGTTGGAAAAAATCTCTACAGATCAGGTGAGCGGTGTCTTCACAGAGCAGCTAGAGGGAATATGCCTTGACCAGCTACAGGGTGTCTTTGTAGATGAGCTGGAGCGAGTTTCTACAGAGGATTTAGAGGCTATATTTGCGGACGAATTGGAAGCAGTCTTAACCGATGAGCTGCAGAAAGTCTTCAGCAATAAGCTGGAGGGAGTTGGCGTAGAAGAACTGGAGAAAATCTTTTTGGACAAAATAGAGCACGTTTTTGTTGATAATCTGGAGGGAATCTTTAGAGACGTGTTAAGGGGAATATTTACGGAGAAACTGGAGGAAGTTTTCAGTGACAAGCTGGAAGGTGACTTCCCCGACAAGCTGAAGAATGGCGCTTTGGATAAACTGAAAGGAGCCCTTATTGATAAGCTGAAAGATGCTCTTACAGACAAGCAGAAGCGGGAATTTATCCGTAAACGAAGACAAGGTTAGAAAAGGAAGGCTGTTTAAAATTATTTTTTCCCAAGGATGCCGTACCATATGCTCTCGCCTGAATTTAGAATTTATTTTTATCTTTTTTAAAACCCTTACCATAATGTGGAGGGTATATTAAGTTTTGTAGTTCCATTTGTAACAACTCGAAATAAAATTTTTGGTTCCCCAAAAAGTGTATATATTCTTGATCTGCATCAAATTCTAGGACAATGGTGGAGGGTATTAGAAGTTCGGCCCGGTCGAACTTGTCTTCTTTTTCTCTGATTCATCAAAAATTCAAAATTATTTAAAAAATCACAAATTCTCTGTCTAAATTGACTTTAAAATGGGAATTCACTCAGACTCATTCATCCAAACGGTTCGATGACGACACCCTCACAATCTAAGACATTTGCCATAATTCGTTTTTGATGCTTGTGTAAACAAAGTAATAAACATTAAAAATTAACACATGTTTTTGTGCGTCGATTTCTTTGTTTTTGTTGTGATATCAGGAAGTCAACAAACAACAAGAAGGGAACAACAACAAAAAACAGAAAACGCAAAAAAAAAAAAATAAAAAATATAAACCAAATCAAAATATTAACATTATACCCAATATTACATTGTGCGGTTATAAATGACAACAAATAACCGCGAAACAATCAACCGCAAAACACACACACGCAGATAGATATACGGATGGATAGATTGGTCGGTAGAACAGGAAGATATGTGAATGTCAGAAAAATAAATAATAAAAAACCAACCGACAAGAGCTCCCAACCTCAAAAATCAAATAATTACGTACGGATTGTATATGTCATTGGATACAAATAGAGCTGAAGAGGTCATAAAGCTTCGATTTTTTTTAACCGGATTGGGAAGAAATTGGGAGAAAACAAGAATCTCTCTCTATCTGATATGAATAAAAATCTAAGAGGGTCATCTAAAAAACCTATTCTTGGTCGCCTAAAAAAGGATTTGAACCAAAAATCGTTAGTACACATCGTAATACTTACATCAGATTTAGGTCAGGTATGAAAATGGAAATATAGACCCATTTTTATATCCTACACCATCCTATGGAGGATATATTAATTTTGTCATTCCGTTTATAACTCCTCGAAATACTCATGTCAGACCCAACAGAGCATATATTCTTGATCAGAGTAAAATTATAAGTCGATTTCGCGATGTCCGTCCGTCTGTCTGTCTGTCTGTCCGTTTGTTTTAATCACGCAATCTTTCGAACAAATTGAGATAGACGGCTAAAATTTTGCACACATGTATATTTTGCCAGTAGGCAGGTTAAGTTCGTAAATGGGCCATGTAGGTCCACGTCTTCGTATAGCCCCCATATAACGGTACCCCCCGATATTCGGTATTTTAATGAGTTTAGCGACACTATCCACCGGAATTGTTTCCAATTTGGCATTTGAAGTTCGTAGTGGATACTACAGCCTAAGACAGAAAATTATCTGTACAGGTCCACGTCTTCGTATAGCCCCCATATAACGGTACCCCCCAATATTCGGTATTTTGATGATGTTAACGACATTATTTATGTAATGGATACTACGTCCTAAGTCAAAAAATGAGCCATATAGGTCCAAGTCTTCATATAGCCCAGATATAACGGTACTCCCCGATATTCGGTATTTTGATGATTTTAGTGACATTATTTACCGGGTTTGTTTCAAATTTCGCACGTGAAGTTCGTAATGGATACTTCAGCCCATGCCAGAAAATTGTCTGTGCAGGTCCACGCCTTCGTGTAGCCCCCATATAACAGTACCCACTGAATTCGGTATTTTGATAATTTTAGCTACATTATAAACAGATTTTTTTTGGAAATTGCCAAATTTGTACCAAATGGTGGATGGCATTAAAAGTTCGACCGGCCGAACTTACAGCTTTTTAACTTGTTTACATTTAATTCGGATTAAGATTGCTTGGAATCCTTGCATCCTAGGTGTATAGTGTCTTCAGCAATAGTACAGATAACAATACAAGCATTATTATACCCTCCACCTTGGAAAGGAGGGTATATTAACTTTGTCATTCCGTTTGTAACATCTCTAAATATTCGTCATAGACCCCACAGAATATATATATTCTCATAATCAGCATAAAATTCTAAGTTGATATAACGAGGTTCGCATGTCTGTCCGTCTCTTGAAATCACGATACAGCCAAGTAGCAAAACAAGTTCTGGCTCGTGTAACGAAACACGTATAACGGTACCTCCCGATACATATAACGGTACCTCCCGATATTTGGATTTTGGATTTGTCTAAAACTTGGCATTTAAAGGTCATAATGGGTTCCTGCTCGTGTGGCGAAACATTCTATGTAAAGTTCCAGGTTTTGGTATGGCTCCCATATAATGATATCTCCCGATATTTGATATTTTGATGATTCTTGCCACATTTTTTCGCGGATTTGTCTACAAATTGGTATTTGTGGGTCATAATGGATTTTAGCTCGTACGACGAATCGTTGTATGTAAAGATCCACGTTTTGGTATAGCCCCCATATAATGGTACCTGCCGATATTCGATATTTTGATGATTTTTGACACATATTCCACGGATTTGTCTAAAAATTGCTATTTGTAGTTCATAATGGGTTCTAGACCGGTGGCAAACAGTTGAATATTTAGTTCCACGTTTTCCTTTAGCGCACACATAACGATACCTACCGCTATACGGTATTTTGATAATCCTTGTCACATTTACGTTTCAAATTTGGTATTTTAGAAGATTTGATAGGTGACAATCCTTGAAGTATAAAATTGTACATAGAGGTTCCCGTTTTGGAATGGCCCAATATAACGGACTCATTCACTTTATGGTTTTTTTTTGATAAGTTTAACTGTATTATTCAAACGGTCTTACTGGTATATGAAGTTTAAAGTGAAACACGCTTGGATTCAGATACTTTTATGTAAAAAAGTTTCCTTGACCCTAATATGGGGTCATTAAAAGTTCCGCCCGGCCGGCGGATTATATAACTCAATAACTCATTTTAAACGGAATCATAGCAAGTCAAAAGATTCTACAAATTTTGTTTCTCACAAAATTCTATTATAGGAAGCTAGTTACACCATTACTTCCTTTTGCAGATCTGCATAAAATCACATTCTGTATCGATTTATGCATGTCCGTCCATCTGTCCTCGTATTGTTGAAAACAAAGTATTGGGCAAAGATATATGTCGGCGATATATCTAAATTTTGACCGATTATTTTGTCCAAGGACGAAATCAGAGATAATCGGTCAAAATTTAGATATATCTCCGAAATATATCTTTGCCCAATATGCTTTTCAATGTGCACTTAATGTGTAATATTAACTCAATTATGATGAAAATTAACACATATAACCTAATTGAGCCTAGAAACAAGTGTGCCGAATTTGGTGGAAATCGGTTCAGATACAGGGTAAAATGAAATGGTGAGAAAAAATGCAACATAGTCAAATGCCATTATTTTTAATTTTTTTTTTTTTAATTTTATTGAATAAAAACAAAAAATGTCGGAAATAGTATCAAATTTTCGAATAAGTTTAGACTTGTTCGAATTTGTCACCTTTGGCACGAATTTTGGTCTTCAGATGGCCAATGAATCCATCATACGCTGCCCGAATGTTGTTCTGTGGTATTTTGGTCCATTCCCGGCGAAGCGCTTGCTTGAGGTGACTTTGGTATTTTTTAGTGCCAACCTTGCTTTAAAAAAATACTTCGGACACAATAGTCTAACAGATAGGTATCCAGATATTTTGGTGGCGATTGTGAGCTAGAAATGAAGCGAGGAGCCTTATTTTGTAACCATTCTTGGGTGGCGCGTGCTGAGTGCGATGGTGCTGAGTCCTGTTGGAATGTCCAAGGTCTGCGGCCAAAATGCTTGCGTGCCCAAGGCTTTAAAACACCCTCCAGAATATTTTCGGCATTTATTCTGCAGCCACGATCGATTGATACGAGCGAAGAGCGACCATCGGCTGTTATGGCGGCCCACACCATCACCATGGACGTCCCTTGAATTCTGGTGGCCAACCGAAGGAGCACATTTTCAGCTGACCTCTTTGGCAAGTAAACACGATCATTTTGTTTCTTTACAAACTGCTAGACAACGAATGTTTTCTCATCTGAGAAAACCAAATTCGGCAGTTCACCACTTTCGGCCAAGCGAAACAACTCTTTTGTACTTTTGAGCCTATTTTCTTTCTGTTGCGGTGTAAGTTCTAGCACTTTTTGGAATTTCAATGGCTTTAGCCCGAGCTCATTTTTCAATATTTGCCGAATGGAAAATTGCGATATGTTCAGCTCACGAGCCATTTTTCGGCCACTGCGACGCGGGCTTCGATCAAGTCGCTTCTTTACTTTTCGAACCATTTGCTGGTTTCTGCTGATGTTGCTGTTTTCTTCCGTCCACTTCTTTGACGTCGTGATACGCCACCAGTATCATGGTAACGAGCGGTGGTACAAGACACAAATTATTTATTTACATTTAAATGCTGGATTGCTCCAATGATAGCCACTTGTGGTTTTCCAGCCAAATATAAGAAAATCACACTATCACGCTGGAATTCAATCAGGAATATATATATTTTTGGAAAATGATCACCATAAGGCTTGTGTACGCTTCTAAACAATATAATGAGCTGTCACTGGAATCATTTTAACAGCTATTGGACGAATAGCAGCAGTTTGAAGTTGGTTTCAGTTTTTTCATCTCACTCTGTATACTACAGTATCGCGTGAATGTCACAAAGGCTATATACATTTTTAAAATTCCACTTGGAACTGGATATATATCATCAGAATCGGAGGTACCTCCAAAAAATTTATATTTTGTATGCACATATCTATTGATCGGATATAGATACCGTCTTTCAATTTGGTATATACAAGCAAATTTGGTACAAAACTAAATTATATTGAAATCGGTTCAGATTTAGATATAGCACCCATATATACTTTCAACCGATTTCATATATTTGATGCACCAAACACGATGTGTATGCTCGATTCCAGTGAGATTCTGAGTGAATGATGAAATTTTGTAAAAAAAAAAAAATAAATTTGTCAAATTATTTTGAAATCAGTTCAATTTTTGGAAAAAGTGTCAAAGAATTAAATATTCTACATGAAATTGCAATGTAATTGCTGAACAAAAAAAATTGCAAACTCAATACATACCCTAAAAAGAATATAAATTTTTGTTAATAAAAAAAAACTACTTTGTTTTTGAAAAAATTAGCACTTTTTTCTAATTGCTGCAAATTTTCATATAATTTTACTTTAGAGTTTCGAAAATTTATAGAGATCTTTAGGTTACACCCAGAATAATTGTTACAGAAAACGGGTCATATTGGTCCACTTTCTGGAATACTCGTCTTTTTTTTTTTTGGCAATGTTTTCCATTTAATTTCGCCAAATTTTGACATTTTTAGTTCCTGTTATGAAGAACCGCC